GTGTGTGTGTGTGTGTGTGTGTGTGTGTGTGTGTGTGTGAGCCAAGAGATGCATGGTTTTTGTACACATGCCATCCAACTGACAAGGAAATAACAAAAAAAAAGAGTGTCATCCCTCTTTCTCTCATTTAAAACAAGGGTGGGGCACTGTGACAAGAAAGGTTTGACTTTTTGTGAAGTCTATCGGGCAAAATTAAGCTTTTTTGTTCCCACACCTGTTGGAGGACTGAAGACTGTGTCTTGAAGTATACTCAGAACTTGGGTTCTTTAAATCTGTTTAAACATGTTGCATAATAAACTCCAACATAAAAGCAATTTGTTTGAGATTTTAAGAGATTGTTGCAATCTTTTGAAGTATAAAGGTTACAAACATTAATATTTTATCTGCTGCAGATAGCTCTTTGAATGAACTTTGTTTGAACAATTTAATTTTTGCCCTATTACCTGCTGATGCCATGTCAAAACCAGACCAAACAGTGATTTGTGATTTTCTATAAAACTTTAAACCTTTGGTTTTGTTTTACACAGTTACGTAGTTATGATATGTTAAGATACTCCTAATGCTACAGCTAGCTGCTGCTAATATTTGCACTTGAACAAACACGAAATTCTACGTAAGTTTGTATGATTGGAGTTGCTGCAGGAGCAGTCCACTTTGGTCTTCTTGGCCCTGTTCCGACTAGATTAACCCATCAAATATATTCCAAACTGACGCCATTCAGAGAACTATTTACAACAGCTGAGCAATTAATTGTTTGGAACGTTTCCACAGAACCTGCTTTTAAAAACATCTGAAATACTGGTTTAGGACGGTGGCTGTTCCAGTCAAAGTTCTCTCACTAAGAAGTTAAGCAAAATGTGTAACTCAGGCCTAAAATCTTAAGATTGCTTTTGCAGAAAGTTAAATCTTCACGTTTCATATAAAAAGTGAACAAACAGTGGTGTCAGCGATTGTCAAAACTGGCAAGCCACACTTTAAAAGAAAAACATTCATCATGTGTTTAAAGGACTGAGACAGTTAAACTACGCAGGACATGTCCGAACGTTTCAGTGCGTTATAATTTAACAGGACCATTTTGTTTTGGACAGGTAGAAAATTAAATGATTCACCAATCCATACTTATTTACTGAGTTATTTTTAGCCACATACTGAATAGAGTTAACTGGTATCTGTGTACAAACATTTTGTTTTTCCCACCAAAACCACAAGATTGAATAATCAAACCCATATTTTACATTTTAAAAAAGTAATGTAAGAAGGTTGTTAAATGTTTGATTAAAAACAGTTCATGTCAGAAGACAAATCCTGAGCAGTCACTTTCTGGGAACATCTTCATTTAAAGTCTCTCCATGAGAAATATCACAGGTTAGTTGCACATACAAACAAAAACAAGCTGCTGGATAACATTTGCAATCTGTACCTTTACAAATGTTTTTACTTCAAACATCTAAAGGTATTTTATAAGCACTTTGTCTCAAACACTTAGTCACTAGCCTTCAGATATTTCAAATCCATTTTTTCAGCATATTTGATTCACTATTTGCTGTAAATTATGATGTATTAAAAGTTCTCATGATTCGTGCAGCAGCTTACCTTCGCATAGTCTTTGCGTTGTTTCTTGTAATTGTACATGTTGACGAGGACCGTGCCTGCCGCTTTTGCTTGTTTAATCTTGTTGACGCTGGAAATCATTTTAATCAAAGGTTAAAAACACTTATTCAACATGGACAAAACAGATGCAAAAATGTGTGCAAACATTCGATGCAAGTAGAGTGCATTTAAGTCGGGGTGCAGTGTTTGATGCATCGCTACGTTACAGACCTAGTGTCGTGTTTTGTCTTGATGCCCATCAGTTTATTGATGCCGTTGTAGAAGCAGATATCCCTGGCAGCCACCTCGCTGTGCATGACTAAGTTGTTGAGGATGCCGCAGAGGTTGGTCACCACTTCATCTTGGGGAGTCTTCTGATTGCCGTCTTCTGGCAGCTTTTCTATCACTGAGGGCACCACCTTTGTAGCTAAATAAACAATAAATAGATAAATTTAGCAAGCTACAAACTGGCCAATCATACAAATAATCCCAGGGGAAAAACATTTATGAAAAACTTCATTTAAGATAAAATAATAAATCAAGACAGGTTTTGTTAAGTTTATAATTAAAATTCAATAAGACTGACCGAGATGATCTTTGTTTTCTGAATGTCGGGACAGATTCCTCAGCAATCCTGTGAGGGAACGCAGCTCTGAATCCCTCTCTGTGCGCATGAGATCAATCAGGGTTGACTCAATCTTCTCTTGCTCCAAAGCCCAGTTGGCAAGCCTGGAAGCGGACTGCAGAGACAGAGTTCAAACATGAAATAAACAGACGTTCATTCAATAAAAATTTCCAACAAACTTCTGATTTGTGCGCTGCTCACACTCGTATCTCCAGCTGTGATGTTCTGCAGAGCGCCAGTGGCTGACTCCCGTGTGGTACCATTGATCTCGCATGATTTTAGGATGTTATGGTAGACGGATACAATAGAAGGGTGATAGAGCAATTGTAATCCCTTTACCTCCTTTGCAAGTTCAGCAAATGTGGGCATAAACTTCTTTTTCTGTTATTCAAAACGACGATACAAGAAATCAGTGTTGAAAAAATCAAGTTTTGTCATCAAAAGCACGAGCTCTCACTGATGTGTGCACGTACACTTTTGGCCTTTTTGCTCCGAGGTGAGAAGCAGCCGACAGATGAGCTGTTCTCGTTCTCATCCTGGTCTCGCTTTAGTTGAGAAGCAACCGATGGAGGTAATTCAGCGTAGAGCTGGTATGAGAGGTTCCTCAAGATGCACATAGCGTTCTCCACCCCCTTAGACACAAACAGAGACTGATGAACACAAACAGAGCAGAGACTTGGTTTGAACAAAAAAAAGACGGCTTCCACTCTTACCTTTTCCTCTGCCTTACACTTGTCTATGGAGGCTTTGATATAGTTAACCAAAGAATCCACCAGTCCTTTTGTTTCTCGCATCTGCTGACGGGTCTTCTCATCAGCAGAGCTTACATTCCTGAACACACAAAAAGAAAGAGAAAGAGGTTGGAGCTTCAGGGCAATGAGGCAGTAGCACAAACAAACCTGCCAGCAATCTGGGCAGAATTAATCTCTATTTTTATCAATCTGAATACATCCAAACAGTTATCTATAAAACGTGAAATTATAATTGCCCGTAACCTCTCCAAAGAACCCCTCTTCAAAAGATCTAATCTGTCCATTTAAAGCTATCAGAGGAAGAGGAAGCATAGGTTTACAGGAGGAAGAAATTTCATAAATGCAAATAATGTGATGGGAGAGAAACAAAGTGGCACAGCTAAACTGAAAATAAAAAAAAGAAAAATAAAAACCAAGAAACATGTTGCAGAAAAACCTAATAAGGTACATTTTGAGCTTTGGGTGATCAAAACATGATCTGATACCTTTACAAATTTATTTCACCCTCCAAGCTTCTTCACACTTATCCACATAAGACCATCAGAAGTGTTTTAAAAGGTAAAATGTTCCAGATGCTTGCATTGACTGTGTATAATTATCACCTGCAGTCATGAGAGGCAGTTAATGAAACTGCTTGTGTGTGAGAGGGTTTGCCTCATTTGTTACTATTTTAGGACTAGGATTTGACACTCAAAGTGAGCTAAGCAGTGAAAAAGTGTTAGAAATGGATGGAAATAGAACTTATCTCCCTTTCACATTTAATCAATAATATTTTTTATATGTGACCAATCACAAACAGGATTATCAAATTTGGTCAAAATGAGCTAGCCACAAATTCTTGGCTGTTTTACCTGGATCACCTTGATATTATGAGCGGTTCCAGAGATAATGACTTAATGTATTATCATGATTAACAAGACTAATTAATATTTGGTCTGAATTGTATTTTAGGTTATTTTAATGAGGAATTTCTGATGTCATTTTAAAGAGGAAATGTCAAATAGTATTCATAGTAAAAGTATTTGGCTTTGCTAACTCACAGGGAAATGTAAATTTGAAGGCGTTTTTGCTTAGAATATTTTTTTAAATTTCTTTTTGTTGCTACTGCTCAAAAAATGCTTAAAAAATCTTAGATTATATTTTAAACAGTTCATTTAAATAATGCATTGATAAGGCATTTATTCATTATATTTTGACAAAATGCAACACGATTATATCTGCCCATACCACTTTGAGACTTTGATGTGATGGTTCATATTAAATACAAAATTTTTCCTCCCCACTTTGAAATATGGAGGAGCAGCTGCTCCATTCAGCAGGCGGCCTATGATCAGTAACACACCAATTGAACCATGTTAAATTCAGGTTTTTACATCTGCAGCTATGGGTCACAATTTAACCACATCTTTAAAACCTCAATAAAATTACATATTTCTATAACTTCCAGCCAAGAAGCCTATTGTATATTGTATATTCCATTTTTAGGTAGGGGGGAAAAAATCTTTTCTCCACAACACCTACATCCTGTTTACAAAAACAATAATAATCATCACAAATATATGAGCTAATATTGCTTTTGTTAATTTACTATGTGTTTCACACTTCAGTAAATAAAGTGAAGTCTGATCAGATGTAAGACTTTGTGTGATATGCACCTGAGGCATCCTGTGGTGTTGCAGAATATCTCTGCCTGAGAGGGGCTCTCCATGACCCTGTCAGAACCTTCCAAATATCTTGCAGCATCTTCCAACTCTCTTTCTGCCGCAGGGGCAATAATCTTCTCAGTAAGTCTTGGTACAATCTGCTTGGCCAGCTCTGCTTTCAGGTTCTCCTTGGATGACAGATTCCACAGGATACCTACACAAAAACATAAGTATAATGAAAACCTTTGTGTGCCCAGTGCCTTTTTAGTTTGAAGTTACAGTAAGCAGCTGATTAACTTTACCCAACTAATAGCTTATTTTAATCTTCCCTGTTGTCTCACTCAAAAGGAACAGTTCAGATTATTTAGAGAAAGCTGTTCTGTGGAGTTACAAATAACCAATTGTTGATCTATTTAGACTCTCTCTCAGGGAAAGCTGTAGTTAACTATTAAAACCAACAACTAAGTGACATTGTCTGGTTACACTTAATTTGCAACATTTGCAACAAGAATCAGAATCAGCTTTATTGACATTCAAACATAACATCAGGGATGCAGTGTAGAACGAAATTGCAGTTAAGACCCATTCAAGAGAAAGACACACATAACAGACATGGGGGTTACTGCATCTCTAAAAATGGCGGAAAAAAAATACCAAATGTTCCAAATTTCGTGGCTTCCTCGCCTCTCACAGTCTGACGCTTCACCCAGATGTAATCCTACATGCCAGAGGCATGCTGCTGAGCTGCGATTCTGATCAGAATCACATCCAGTTTGCGAATTATCTCCCCCAACATTTGAGTCTGTGCATTACCAGTATGGGAGATTCCATCCATTTTATCTGACAGCTTCTCATAGGCCCGGACTGCTGTCAGGATTGCTTTCAATTTCCGATAAATCAGAAATCCGCCTCCGCTGATCAGCAGAAATCCAGTTATCATAAATCCATATATATAGAAATCTTCCACGTCTTCAATGGAAAGTGGCGCCAGACAGATCAGATTCCAGGCCCCCCAGGAACCACTGACCCGACCAGCAGCAACCATTCCACTAGGAGAGCTACATTCCCCTCGTTCCAATCTTAACGTGGAAAAAATAGTGTCAATTGTGTTCAGAGACCAGTTGACCAAATCCATAATTTTGTTTCGGATGATAGCCCCCGTAATAAAAGGATAAGGCACTGTCAAGGATGACACCCAGTGCCAACAAGATTTCGGTTTTGTCACTGTTACGTTTAAGTTATTGGAGAACCAGGACCTGATTTCCAAGTAGGAGGAAAAGATAAGTTGGGTTTGAGGGGAAGGTAGAATCGGGTGTCATCTGCATAGTTATGAAACCGAATGTTGTGTTAATGGTATATGTAGCCAAGGGGGAGGATGTATCAGGGAAAGTCAATTCCGGTCCTCGAGGTCCACAGCCCTACAAGTTTTACTTGTTTCTCTGCTCCGACACACCTGATTTGAATGAATGGATGATTTTCAGGCTTATGCAGAACTTGGAAGAGGTAATTCACTGACTGAATCAGGTGTGTTAGAGAAGGGAAAAAAGTAAAACATGCAGGGCTGCGGACCTCGAGGACCGGAATTGACTGTCCTGATGTAGATGATAAATAGGAGGGGTCCAAGAACAGAGCCTTGGGGTACGCCAGAGGAAAAGGAGGAAGGTTTGTATTAGAAAGCGTTGAGTTGAATGAAATGAGTATGACCAGAGAGATGAGATATAATAAATTTAGTGATGTATCAGAAAGTTCTATGGATTTTGCCCTTTATATAGCAGAGTCCAAAATATGTCCAAGTACATATTTTTAAGGTTTTAAGTTTCAAAATAACCTGACTCTTTTTACAGTTGTATTGATGCAGCCTGTCTCGGTGATAATAAAGTTTTTATTTATTTCCTCCTCTGCATGTACAGTGGTTTGCAAAAGTATTCATACCCCTTGAACTTTTCCATATTTTGTCACATTACAACCACAAACATAAATATATTTCACTGGAATTTAATG